ATGTTTTATCATGGGAAGTATAGCGTAACGGTTATCCGTTGCTTTCTTCACGGTGACTGTGTTGGGACACCACATCTAGAATAGAACTTCCGGTTGCATCTAGCTATTTCAACAGTAAAATACTGAGAACTGCTAATCTAGTAGTACGCTTAAATTTGTGCGGTCGATGTTCCAAAGAGGCGAGTTCATTGGACTTAACATGAAAATATTTATAGAAAAGAGAGAGAAGCCAATTCATACGGCTGGAAAATCGAGATGACACATCAGGAAAAATGGGAAAGGGACGTTCCGGCGTAGCCCATTTGGCGTCGCTGATTCGGCGTAGGCGAGTTGACATAAGAATTTTTCGCCAGAGGCAAGATGAGGTGTCAGTTTACTGCTTTGTCGTTATAGCCAACTCTCTCTCTCTCTCTCTCTCTCTCTCTCTCTCTCTCTCTCTCTCTCTCTACCTCTACCTACCTACCTACCTATCTATCTATCTCGTAGAAGTAGTTGGAGGCATTTTTATATTTAAGAAAAGAAGTAGTCAGAGGCATTTTTATATTTAAGAAAAGGAGTAGTTGATCCCTGGCTATCCACCCCACAGAAAGCTAACAAAATATAGAGATTCTGACGAACGAATCAAAAAAGTCATAATGGAAGTTGCATCATTAGATTCTTTTTGAGTTCCTGAAAGGTGTTGGTCATAATTACGAAATGAAGAAGTCATTTCTAAGATTAAATAGCTTTACTAATTTTTTTAATATTTTTTTTAAATACAATATTTTTTATTTAAGTTTTTAATTTACATTATTCATTAGCAGTTTAATAAGATCCTTAATTCCCTAAATGAATAAAACGTCATATTTTAATTTTGGTGTTTTCAATGCTTTTATCCTTTTTGGAGGTCGGAGGGAGAGTACCTCCGTTCAAAGACAGTGACGTCGAAAATGTCTGACACCTAAACGGCCGACGCCGAATCAGCAACGCCGAATCAACGACTCCAAATGGGCTACACCGAAGTTTACCAAAATTAAGAAACAATAAGATTTTGGATTTTGGGGATAATCAGGAGATTAATAATAAGAACACCAGACCAGATATGGCGAAAATCTTCGATGCACGGATAAATGGCTTTATTTCTGAATGTTCTCATAATTATAAAATATTCCAGTTACGCAAACAAATCATTTTTTTAAATCGTTTCACCTCAAGCAAAGAGATAATGCCGCTAAAACGCAATATGTCACGGAGAGAGAAATAGAATAAGATGTTGATGAGGAGAAAGGACAGTAAAAGGACAAGTTTCAGGAAGAAGGCGATGGACGTCGCATTTAAATGTTTGAAGATAGAACGATTAGACTAGAACTTACTGTTACATCTAGCTTTATTAAGCCGTAGAAATATGAGACCTAATTGCCAATCGAGCAGTATGACTAATTTCATGCGGTCGATAAACCAAAGGGTGAAACTCATTAGAACAATTACCATGGATATATTTATATAAAAGACAGAGAGAAGCCACGTCACGGCGATGGAAAAGGGACTGAAGTAGAGATGCCAGATCAGGACCGATAAAATTACAGACCCTTCTTTTTGGCTTTTGACTAGACTCTAGAGATATATTGCAGGAACCCAAGGCCAGATATATAAGAGCAATGTTCGATAATATGAATGATAGCTTTATTATCGTGCAAGATGCATTATGGGGGGTGGCACGCCAGAGTGGACCAACTTTTCTAGCAGTAGAACTAACAGAAAAAAAAATACTATGTTGAGAGTGAGAGATTTTCCTGCATCGGGACATTGGTAAGATTACGGACGTGCACACTTCCAATCGGATGATAAAGACCGTTATTTACACGAAAGAATAAAGCAATCCAAAGTTTGCACAAAATTCTTCTTCCTTGTATTCTGTAAGGCTTCTCATACCCTCTTCTGTCTTCTTCATAACTGATTCGGTATTTGCCATGGCACAAGGCTGATTTAACGTATGCTCGGGTAAAAATTCTCCGTAGAGTCACACATTCACGCGGTCAGTTGGCTGTTTACTTTTCCCCAGACAAGAGTCTGCCCGTAAATATAGCTCCGTCTGAGTTCATCTCCGTTTTATCTTTTGTATATAAATCGCTCGGGTGTATAAGGGGCATTTTTTTTTTAATAGCAGAGAAATTCCAGAAAAAATAGGTTATTTTCGTGTATAGATCACACCTGAGAAATAAATGAAAAAAAAACAAAAAAAAACGGGACACCTTATTTGCGTTTGTGATTCGTAAGTAATACGAAAATGTTGTAATGACTTTACAACCACTAATTCAGCAATACACATTAAGAAAATATATCGAAATAAAACTAAATAAATATCATTTTGTTCGACTGTTGGTTTTAATTCATTCGTAACAATCTAAGGTAATTCTTTAAAATTATTCGGGGAGTCCTGAAAAGGATTGTTTGTTACGAATTCAGATCATTAATTTGACTTTCAATGAAAAATAATTTTGATGATTTTATTTTAAAATTGTGCTTCATTCTGCATTTTTTATCATAAATTGAATAATATTTTTTACTTTTGAATTATTTTCTAAGCTCAAGTTGTTGCGTAGACTCAACGGAATCTGGAAAAAGTACAGAACCGTACGAGACTTAGTGAAACATTATGATTTATTTCCATTTGTACAATTCACCATTAGATAGATATTATCCACCATTACATAGATAATGTCCATCATTAGATAGACATTATCCACCATTGGATAGATGTTATCCATCATTAGATAGATAACATCCACCATTAGATATACATTATCGACCATTAGATAGATGTTATTTCTCCAGTAAACAAATAAATCAAATTTGGCCCAGTTTTACCCGATTTGAGTCCTAGAAAATGCGATTGGGTTCTATACTCAAGTATAAGACGCAGCAGGGTTTTTGACACGATTTTGGATTTTTAAAAAGATTGCGTCTTACACGCATTTTTTTTAATTAAAAAGGAGTGCGTATTATACACACAGGGTTATGGTAAATAAGATAAATTTGAATAATTTATGCTCTTTTTTCTGCTTATATTATTCCCGCCTTCCGTACGATACCTGAAGTTAAGCAGCGTCGAGCATGGCCAGTACGTAGATGGGGGACCGCTTGGGAATTCAAGGTGCTTTAATCGATAATGGATCGGAAATGTTAATCGAAGAACCGATTATCAATTCCAGTTGAGTTCGTTACGTGCAAATACCCTTGGGAAAAAGTATGGTCGCTATTATAGTATACGGTCTACCACAGTATCAAACACTATAGCATGCAGTCTACCTCATTTCCTACTATAGTATGCGGTCTACCTCGCTATCTAACGCTATAGCATGAGGTCTATCTCATTTCCTACTATACTATACGGTCTACCTCACTAACACTATAGCATGCAATCTACCTCATTTCCTACAACAGTATGCGGTATACCTCACTATCTAACACACGCGGTCTACCTCAATTCCTACTATAGTATACGGTCTACCTCGCTATCTAACACTATAGCATGTGGTCTACCTCATTTCCTACTATATTATACGGTCTACCTCGCTAACACTATAGCATGCAGTCTACCTGATTTCCTACAACAGTATGCGGTATACCTCGCTATCTAACACACGCAGTCTACCTCAATTCCTACTATAGTATACGGTCTACCTTGCTTATCTAACTCTATAGCATGTGGTCTACCTCATTTCCTACTATATTATACGGTCTACCTTGCTAACACTATAGCATACAGTCTACCTGGTTTTCTACAACAGTATGCAGTCGACCTCGCTATCTAACACTACAGCATATGGTCGACTTCATTTACTGCTATAGTATGCGGTCTACCTCGCTAACACTATAGCATGTGGACAACCTTACTTACTATTATAAGATGCGGTCTACCACGCTATAAAACAATATAACATGCAGTCTACCTTATTTCCTACGATAGCATGTGGTCGCCCTCGCTATTTAACACGGTAGCTTATCTAGCAGATTGTTCTCTCATAAAAAGTCGACTGCTGTTTTCTCGGTCAAGTTGACAGGTCTATAAAAATCAGTGAGCAACATTTTAATCTAGAGGAGGTCACCCAACTGATGTTAACGGTTTCAGATGTAGAGGGAATCGATAGATACCCAAGAGCAGTTTCGATGGTTCCCAACTGAATGAATTTAAACGTGCTACTAGGTTGCCATATCAATCCCACCCTTTCACTGTCGAAACTGTAAAATGTACCTGTCTCTTCTACTCCAATAGCTTCATGTCTCGCACTTCCCGTCTGTGTAACTCCCTTCCTCTTACTTGCTTCCCTGATAGCTATAATCTTCAATTATTCAAAAGCAATGTCAATCGACATCTTCAGATGCTTTGATCTAATTCCCCGTACTTCTCTTCATCCTTTCCTCTATCATGCCTCTTTACTCTTGATCCTACTCTCTGCAACCAGTTGCGTGCTAGTGGCACTCCCGCCTTGCATGCGGTGAAAAGCTTAAATTTTTTTTTTTTTTTTAAATGAAAACGCTAAAATCTGCTATGGTAATTCGTAGCCCATCCGCTGATTTTTAATGAAAATTTAGAATTTAGAATGCTTATAAAAAAAGGCCTCCCCACAAGTCGGAAGGTAGCACTAGGCCGTTTATTTTTTTTTTGTTTTGTTTTTTTTTTTTTTACGGGGAGCGTTCCCAGCCTGTGGGATCGGGCAAAATTTACCCGTAAACACCGTAATAACGGGGTCGGGTTTGTCAACCTCCCCAGACGAGACTCCGCCCTTCCGCATAACTTCGTCTGGGTTCCTTCCTGTCCCAAAATAGAGAGTTTGACAAGCTGAGCAGACCTAGCACGTTTCTGATGTGGGAGCTCCATTTCCTTTCTTTCTTATGGACAGGACAGATGAGAGGTGAGTGGATGGTAGAATTCATCATGGTAGACGGTGGGGTGGACGGCACGAGAGGTGAGGTAAGTTCACGGTATAATTCATAGCGCGGTACTATAGTAATAAATGAGGTAGATTGCCTATTATAGTAGCACCAACGTATGAATCCACCTCTTCTGCGCCCCCAGCTATGGGTTAATTGTTAAAACTTTTATCACTAAATCATTATCATCTCCCCCCACACACATCTCACCCCGCAAAAAAATCTAAAATTATTTTCTGATTATAAATAAAGTGTAAAGGGTTTGATAAGTCGTAGAAAATAAATCTGCCAATCAAAACAAATATCTATATATATATATATCCCAGTCTGTTCATATCTATCTACCTATCCCAGTCTGTTGATATCTATCTCTCTCTCTATATATATATATATATATTAAGAAATGGACAAGGTCCGACAATTTATTTATTAAAGACATATTTTATGTTTAATGTACGAGATTCATGGAAAATTGGAGTTTATAAGCAGTAAATTCGACCTTGTCTACCGAACGCTTCTTTGTAGCCTAAGCGGTAAGGCACGTCAGCGTATATGACGGTTCCGTATAGGATGCAGGTTCGAATCCTGTCAAAGAACGAAAATTTTCTATGAAAATTTCTCGGACATTCAGGCCGGTAAATGTTATTTAATACTGTTTATCATAAACAGAGCATTTGCTTAAATACTTGTATCTATAAAATAACAACGTTAAACATAAAATATGTCTTTAATAAATAAATTGTCGGACCTTGTCCATTTCTTAATATATGACGTCATTTGTTTACATTTGATACGCCAGAGCAGTTATGAATGTACGAGATTCCGATTGGTAAGACACGTCAGTTTCTAGAGGTCACTGCGATGCTGACTAGATAGGCAGAACAGGCCGGAGGTTTGAGGCACATACCAACCAATATTCGCAAGGGAAATACAGAAAATTCACAGATGTTCATAAGAGTAACGTGTTCAGGGGTATAATTTTGTTACCCACTCTCGTTTGTTTGGTTCGTTATATTCACTTACGTGCAAATACGCTTGAGAAAATGTACGAATCCATCCCTTCTCACCCCAGATATGGGTTAATTAATATGACTGGTATTAATAACTTATTACTACGCCCCAACACCAAATCTTACAATCTGAAAATAATTTCTGGCTTTTTATAACCTACAATGGTCTTCACAAGTCGAAAACGAATCCGGATAAAAAAAAAAAATTCCCTCCCTTTTTTCTTTCTTTCTCTTTCTCTATTTCTTTTTCTGTTTCTCTATTTCTCTCTTTCTTTTTCTGTTTCTCTCTTTCTCTCTTTTTTCTCTCTTTCTCTCTTTCTTTTTCTGTTTCTCTCTTTCTCTCTTTTTTCTCTCTTTCTCTCTTTCTTTTTCTGTTTCTCTCTTTCTCTCTTTTTTCTCTCTTTCTCTCTTTCTTTTTCTGTTTCTCTCTTTCTCTTTTTCCTTTTCTGTTTCTCTCTTTCTCTCTTTCTTTTTCTGTTTCTTTCTTACTCTTTTTCTCTTTCTGTTTCTCTCTTTCTTTTTCTGTTTCTCTTTTTCTTTTTCTTTCTTTCTCTCTTTCTTTTTCTGTTTCTCTATTTCTCTTTTTCTTTTTCTGTTTCTCTTTTTCTTTTTCTCTCTTTCTCTTTTTCTTTTTCTGTTTCTCTCTTTCTTTTTCTCTTTCTCTCTTTCTCACTTTCTTTTTCTTTTTCTCTCTTTCTCTTTTTTTTCTGTTTCTCTGTTTCTCTGTTTCTTTTTCTGTTTCTCTGTTACTCTCTTTCTTTTTCTTTCTTTCTCTCTTTCTTTTTCTGTTTCTCTATTTTTCTTTTTCTTTTTCTGTTTCTCCTTTTCTTTTTCTCTCTTTCTCTTTTTCTTTTTCTCTCTTTCTCTTTTTCTTTTTCTGTTTCTCTCTTTCTCACTTTCTTTTTCTTTTTCTCTCTTTCTCTTTTTTTTCTGTTTATCTGTTTCTCTCTTTCTTTTTCTGTTTCTCTGTTTCTCTCTTTCTTTTTCTTTTTCTCTCTTTCTCTCTCTCTTTTTCTTTTACTCTCTTTCTCTCTTTCTTTTGCTGTTTCTCTCTTTTTCTGTTTCTGTTTCTGTTTCTCTTTTTCTTTTACTTTTCTCTTTTTCTTTTTCTGTCTTTTTTTTATCTCTCTCTCATTCTCACTTTCTTTTTCTACTCTCTCTCTCTTTCTAGCTCTCTTTCTCTCTCTCTACCTCTTTCTCTCCTCTCCTCACACTTTAATTTTGTTTCTTCTTCCTTCACTGCTCTCTCTCTCTCTCTCTCTCTCTCTCTCTCTCTCTCTCTTCTATTTGGTGGGATTGGGAATTTACCAATTTTTAGGTCAGTGCGATAAGCAGAACGGGTCAAATGTCGGTAGCACGGATCAACTAACACATTCCAGCCAACATTTGGAAGGGAAAGGTGGACTATTTACATATGTGAGTCAATATAACAGGTTGTTACATATTTTTGCTACATCTTCCCGGTTTTTATAAAGTGTTTCATTTTTGTAATCAATTGTCTTCTAAAATCTCCGTTGTTTTGACGCACTAACAAAATATTTTTTATCCCGTGAGCCGTAGGGTCGTAGGTGCAACATGCAGTAGAAGTGATGTTACAAGATGGTCCGACGGGGCCCAACGCTTTACAGCCCGGTTTTGAGTTCTTCCTTCTAGACCGGTTGCCACCCAAGGCTATAGAACCCAGTCTGCCCTGCTATTTTGGGGAAAATAGGATTGCTACCTTTCCCAAGGGTATTAGCACCTAACTGAATGTAATGGATTCGACTGGAATTCGAACTCGGCTCTCCGATTCCTCAATCTGAGCTGCTATGTATTACTATTTCGCGTTTCTTAAAACACTACACCCCTGAAAAATATTAACATCATATGTTATTTAATCATATATCATAAAAGCATATAATAATATCATATATCATATAATCATATAATAATATCACATAACATATAATCATATATCATATAATCATATAATATCCTATATCATATAATCATATAATATCATATAACATATAATCATATAATAATATCATATATCATATAATCATATATCATATAATCATATAGTTATATCATATGTCTCATAATCATATATCATAGAATCATTTAGCAATATATAACCATACAAAATTATCATATATCACATAATCATATATCATATAATAATATAATATCATATATCACATGATCATATGTTATATAATCATATAATAATATCATATGTCACATAATCATATGCCATGTAATCATATAACAATATCATATATCACATAATCACATATAATATAGTCATATAATAATATCCTATAACACATAATCATATATCATATAATATCATATATTATATAATTATATATGATATAATCACATAATAATATCATATATCACATAATAATATCATATATCATATAATCATATATCATATAATGATATAATAATATTATATATTACATAAACATACATTATATAATAATATAATAATATCCTATATATCATAACCATATATCACATAATCATGCAATAATATCATATATCGCATAATCATATATCATATAATCAATATAATATCATATATCACACAATCATATAACATATGAACATATAATAATATATATCGTATAATGATATATCATATAATCAAATAATATCAAATATCATATCATCATATATCATAAATTCATATATCATATGATCTTATATCGTATAATCATATAATAATATATTTCATACAATCATATAATAATATCGTATATTATATCATATATCAAATAATCCTATACCATAAATCATGTAATAATATTATATGTCATATAATCATATATGATATAAATATATAATAATATATGTTATAAACATATATCGTATAATCATATAATATCATATATCACATAATCATATACCTTATATTCATATAATAATACCATATATCATATAATCATATATTATATAAGTAAATACAGTTAAATCGATACTTAATTCACGTTTGAACTGTGCTTGTAGATAAATAAACCACATGTAGACAAATATGTTTCCCTATATATTAAGTAAAAGATAATATTCTTTTTTTGCAGAATACCTTAATCAATCAATTAAGTAATTTTCGCTGAATACTGTTTCTATAATAAATACTTTATTTTTAGATTTTTAATTACAGATTAAATTTCTGCTTGTCAAATATAAATCATGGCGTAAGAGAAGTTAAGTACTTAAGACAAATAATTGCTTTTAAAATAATCAAAAATCTGCTTCAAAACACAAAAGTATTTTTTTTTTTACGACTAATTTTATTTCCTTACAAATAAAATCAAAAATTTAAAAAGAATGAACAGTTTGTTGGTTATGCGGGTTGCAGACGACAGAATAGGTCAGGTGAGTCCAGATTCTGATGGAATCTCTCGCGTTACCATTGGAAAAGGCATGAGTCTATTTATTTGTCCGGCGACGGATTAAACAATAGATTTGGCTTTAAAACAATGGCATTTTAAAATCTAGGGGCCTTAAACGTTGCAACCTTCAGAGTAGAACGTGCAAATTATTTTCAAGGTAAATTTTGCTGAATCTTTGCTGAATTTATTTTTAATCAAAACAAGACTCGAGATCCACTCAAGGTAGATGTGCTGGTGGTGTAATGTATAGCGTCTGGAAATGAGAAACTGGAGAGCCGAATTCGAATCTCATTCGGTTAGATTCATTACGCATAAATACTATTAAGAAAGGTGTGAATTCATCTCCACCCAGCAGATATGGGTTATACTGTTGGACTTATATCTAAAAAAAAAATCATTATTATTCTTAAAATAGTGTAATATTCGCTCTTAAGAAAAATAAATAATTTTTTCCAATTTGAATAAACCACAAAGGGTTGATAACCCATAAAAATCACTTAATCAAAGATAGAGGGTTACAGAATGAGATGTTTGATATGAATGTAAGAAGAGTCGGTAGGATGTGAAGATTTTGAAAAGAAGGAGGATATATAACGATTGATCTTTGATTTAATGAGTTTAAGATTATAATGATCGGGTAAAACCCTACGCGGATGTTTTTTTTTTTCACAAGGTATCAGATCTTTGTTAAAAACTGAGTGGAATTATGAAAAACTGAGGTGATTATGGCTCTCCACAACATCCCTGTGGCCCCTGACATTCCCCCCCCACCACCACTTGTTCGTCCAGTCCGTAGGCCAAAGCTTTACACAAACTCTTGACTTGTGTGAGTTTCCCAACCCGTTCTTCCTCAGTATGGGTCAAAGAGTATTCTGATATCACTTTCACTGAGTATAAGTGTTCTTTATGTTACTTTCTTTAAAACTTCCTTGTTTCTTACTTGCACCGTTCAAGTAATTCTCACTATCTTTTTGTAGAACCACATCATTTATTTATTAAAAGAGGATTAATAGAAAGCTTCAGCTCACATTTCTTTGTTAAGCAACGTCGTGCCTGGTCAGTACCTAGATGGATGACTGTTTAGTAATACCATGTACTGATATTTTTCTTCCGTAATATAGCACCCGCCATGGCTTGAAAGACCTTATGACGACATTAAATCTTCCACTGATCTGAGATCTAAAACACAACGAGTTGGTATGGATCGAAGTGCTTAGTAACCAACAACCAGCTTGAAGCAGCTTTAGTATCGACTAGCGGAGAGTTATCTCTATGGTTAAAACGTCGACCTAAGACCTTGAGGATCGGACCACTAAACGTGATTACACACCACGTTGTAGGCGGCAGTTAAAACCATGACCAAGGATTTGATTCTGGCTTCCTGGTGTTATACATGTATTTGGGTAAACAGAAAAAAATGTCGTCAGTGCACTGATGTCGAGATGGCCGGTCAGGATCGATTACATTGCAGATCTTTATTCGAATTTTCTCAAGAATATCATGACGTACATAATATATGACAAGAGTATCCAATACACGGACGTATAGCAGAGAGAATATTAGAAGGCTGAATATTAGAAGGATGAATATTAGGAGGATGAATATTAGAAGGATGAATATTAGAAGGATTAATATTAGAAGGATTAATATTAGCAGGATGAATATTAGGAGGATGAATATTAGAAGGATGAATATTAAGAGGATGAATATTAGAAGGATGAATATTAGAAGGATGAATATTAGAAGGATGAATATTAGGAGGATGAATATTAGAAGGATGAATATTAGGAGGATGAATATTAGGAGGATGAATATTAAGAGGATGAATATTAAGAGGATGAATATTAGGAGGATGAATATTAGAAGGATGAATATTAGAAGGATTAATATTAGAAGGATGAATATTAGAAGGATGAATATTAGAAGGATGAATATTAGGAGGATGAATATTAGGAGGATGAATATTAAGAGGATGAATATTAAGAGGATGAATATTAGGAGGATGAATATTAGGAGGATGAATATTAGAAGGATGAATATTAGAAGGATTAATATTAGCAGGATGAATATTAGGAGGATGAATATTAGAAGGATGAATATTAGGAGGATGAATATTAAGAGGATGAATATTAGGAGGATGAATATTAGAAGGATGATTAGTAGAAGGAAGAATATTAGGAGGATGAATATCAGAAGGCTGAATATTAGAAGGCTGAATATTAGAAGGATGAATATTAGAAGGATGAATATTAGGAGGATGAATATTAGAAGGATGAATATTAGGAGGATGAATATTAGAAGGATGAATATTAGGAGGATGAATATTAGGAGGATGAATATTAAGAGGATGAATATTAGGAGGATGAATTAATAACGGTTAATTTCTAAGCTGTAACGGTTATGTTTTGAATTATTCTACGGTTATTAAGTGGAAATAATTGTGGATCTGAATGCAGTTTTGTGTCTATTTTATATTGTTACTTGTTTTTTATATTGTTACTTTTTTATGTGTGCATTTGTAGTTTTTTAATGTGTTTATTATTGACTTAATGTATTTACTTATCTATTGATTTTATTAATTCATGACAAAGTAGTTTATAAGTATTATTATTTAAATTTTACAACCGTCAATCATCAATCCGAGCCTGGTGCTTCCCACGGAAATGAAACAAACAGAATTATAGCAAACAATGAGAAACAAAATATTTATATATTGTTATTATTAGTAGAAGTAGCAGTATATATATATATATATATATATATATATATATATATATATATATATATATATATATATATAAAACATCTGTTATTAGTTGCTGCATTGAGGAACAACAATAGTCTTTTGGACATATTTTTATGTGGACGTTTACCATGTTTTGTGTAAGGAATTCGCCCAAAAGTTTGTAAAAGTATTATTGGATTTTAACCTTGGGCTGTACATTTAACATGCCAAGAAAAGGGAAATGTTGTAAGAAAATGCAGTTAACCATGACTGATATACACAAATATAGGTTTAAAAGAAATCAGTTTAAAATTTCATCGTCACGTATAATCACACCAACGTGAACATCACTTGAGTTCGACGAAACGCCTCACACAAAAAAAACATTCCCATTTTGCCATAGGTTTTGCTAAAATTGTTTTCATTTGTAAATATATATCGTCTTTCCACACACACACACACACACACACAAATTAACAGATTTTTATGCATAATATTGACAATTCTGTCTGTTGAGTTTTTTTGTTATTTTTTCTGAATTAGTTTTTTTATATAATCGGTAAACTTACTATTGTGAGATCGTAACATACCTACAACATGGACTCTTCCAGGACTATATAAAGTATGCGATAAAACACTCTAGAAGAACAGGAGGAAAGAGAGAGAGAGAGAGAGAGTATTCTAATACCGTAGTATCAGCCGCGTACGACTACCAATATTGGACACTAGCACATAGTAAGCTCCGCTTACACTTACACTATCTTTGTAACCTTTTTGTTTAATATATCTTTCTGACCTCTAATCCGTGTTCCGTGTTTTCCTTCTGTGGTCCCAACTTTGGGACCACATCACTTACCAAGTTTCATTTTTATTATCTGTATTTTTCCTGAGTACTTTCGAATGTTGCTACATTCAGTTTCAATGATTTCGTCTTGTGTCTTCTTATAGTTTTTTCTCCCTTAATTCAAGGGTTCCTTTGTTTCCTGGAACCAATTCAATTCAAGTTTATATCAGCTACAACGCTCAAATTTAATTTTTAATTGACACCCTTTTAAATTATCGATATTATTCAACTAAACTTGTTTGAACGACTTCGTGCTGCTTAAATAAACCGTATTTTATATATTTATTCCAGCTTGGGAAAAATAATATACGACTGAAATATTTTAATCACACACAAATGCATACACACACAAAACTTTATTCGTTACCCATCTGATGAAGCCATATAGGCGAAATGAATTATAGGATATTATTTTCGAAACATACTTCCATGAACGTTTTTCGAAATTTCAATAACTGATAAGTCTGTCGGGATTACATACACAAATTTATTACATAACGTCGACATGGAGAACGAATGGATAAAAATAAGTCTTTCATCTATTTTCTACCCATTCTAAAGGATATTCCTCTCAAAGTTCGGACACTTAAGGTGATATATATATATATATATATATATATATATATATATATATATATATATATATACTTTTATATATATATATATATATATATATGTATGTATATATATATATATATATATATACATAGATAGATATATAAAAGTATATATATATATATATATATATATATATATATATAATTAGCCCCCTCCTCCGCAATATTAAGTATTGTCGTTTAAATAAAAATAAATTCTAAAACTCTCTCTTCCTCCCTAATTTCGACCATGTCTCTCACACTATCCCTCATCACCCTCTATGTCACTTTATATAAAATTAATACTACCCCTCAAAAGAGTAAATTTTAATTTCATTTTTTCAAACTTGAAAGTGAAGTCTGAAGATTCAGAGAATAATAAATTCTCTGGTGAAATAAATTATTAAAATGGCACCTTAAAGTGGTGTGTTTTTTCTTTTAAATATATATATATATATATATATATATATATATATATATATATATATATATATATAAGCGTTATTTTCAGTGGATACTCGTTTATGATAGATAGTCAATTTATTTATTCAACACTGTACATATTTATTTCTTCTACCTGCCTGAATATTCAAGAATGCGGCAAGAATCGAATCTGTGTGGAAAGTGTGAAATATTTGTTCGATTCGACGTACCTTAACCAACTCGGCTACGGAGCAGACTTACCCATCAAGGAAAAGTTAGAAACGAGTAGCACGTCGGATCTAACGACGATTTCCCCTTCCCAGGTGGACGCAGGTTCGAATCTTGCCAGAGAGCGCATATATTTCTTTAATAAGATTTCTCGAATATTCAGAACGTTAGACGTCTACTTAAATATGAGTTTCGACTCAAAATAATGTTTAAAGTGAAAACAATCTGTCGGATTGATACACAAAATCCATTACCTTTTATATATATATATATATATATATATATATATATATATATATTGTCTTTTAAAATTATAAAGTGTATAATGTTTTCTTTAATACGCAAGTACTTTCGATTGTACATTCAGGCATGGAAAGTATTTTGTTTTTGGTAAAATTTAGGTAGCATTCGAGACGAAAAATATAATGAGAATCGAAATACGTTTTTTTTTTTTTTTTTTTTTTCAAATTTGTTATTGTTAAGGGATACATTTTTGGGGAGAATGCAGTCGCAACGCTAAGTTTGAATTTTTTTGAAAATTTAAGAGTGCATTTTTTACTAATATGGCAATTTGAGATTTTTGTTTTTTGTTTTTTTGTAAGAGTTTATCCGTCAATGTGCCATGAACTAAACAGTTCAATAATGTAATGTCTCAATTGTTATCCTGAAAATTAGGACGCCGGATCAGTTCTTTGAAATCAAATATGTGGTGCAGTTCAGTTTATATCACAATGAATCATTCATACAAAAAGTAGGTTAGTATAATTAATTATATATATATATATATATATATATATATATATATATATATATATATATATTGTTACTATCCATGGTTTTAAGTGAACGCTGGAGTTCTTAGAACATAACTGCTGATAAAAGAAAACTACTATACATGAATTTTTGTATGATCTGCATTTTCAGTTAATCACTAAGGCTCTTGGAGCCTGGCTTTTATGAATGAGGTGTTGGCGGTGGTCTACTCTAATAAAGTTTACGCAATAATACAATCTATATTTTGGGAATTATTTTTCTTAGAAGGCCGTGAGTGCAGTTTCGTTGCTGACTGAAACACAGAAGTAAGGCCTTTTTTCAAACAACAGCTTCAGTTCCCGACGAAACGTCTTCGCCATGGCTACATAAAGAATAAAATTAACCGCATTGTTTACGCATGAGACAAGATTGGCATACAACATACTACTACCGGCGCCCGTCTCCTCCACATCATAATTTTTAAAATAAAGTACGACAGAAAAAGGGATCGTTGTGACAACGAACACTACATTGATGGACAAGACAAGACCTATAGTCCCATTGTTCTGTGGTCGGGCCCGACCCAGCGTAGGGCGTCGACAAAGTTTGTAAGCGATCGCTATGTTGCATGCCATTATAATTGTAGCCGGCAGGTAACTATAAAGTGTTCCGTGGAAAACGGTCTGTAAGTAGTGGCGTGGGTAGCAGCGCCTGTTTCTGTATTGCCAGAAGTAGATATCAACTGCGTTGAGTGACCCCAGGATCATTATAGAGATTATGATCCACCGGATAGTGCAGCCGGACTTGAATACATAATGGCTCCGTATCGGGAAGCACACGCAAATTGCCCTCTCTAGGGTGATGATGACAGTCAACCAAGAGGAGAAGTCGGATGGAAACATCATGAAGAATAGCCACACTCTGCACATCAGTAGACTCTTGTGAATCACGTAGAACCTGAAGGTGCGCAGGATGACCTCCAGCAGGCCGAAGAAGAGAACCGTCAGATCCGAAATACTCAGTATTATCAAATAGATCCCAATTTTCGATTTCCGTATTTTTTTTCGACAGAGGACTATGAGGGATAGAATGTTACCCATGGTACCCACGAATAAAAGTAAAATCCCTATGTTTCTCACAATAAGCAAACCGATGGTTTCGTCCATGGTTTCATTTGTCGTCAGGTTGATGAACCTAAAATAAAATAAAAAATAATGAATTAAAATGTGTAAAATATTTGTCCTACATAATCAGATAGTTTTATTGGAAACTTTTTAACTGGAATATATATATATCAAACATATTCATCAAGCAATTACAATATATAACCCCATGACACGCACACATGGTTGAAACAGCCTTATTCCCCCCGTATTCCAAGTAGCTTTTTTTCCTTTCCTAAGTCCCTATTTATACCTAGTTTTTTTCTTCCACCTTCACTCTCTGTATCCCCCTAGCCCAACTCGCGTACCAGTGACATTCCTGCTTTGTTTGGGGTGGAATGATTTAAAAAAATAGTAGGAATTTATATTCAGACACCTACTGAATTGTGGGGTGCACACCCCAAGAGATGTTTCTCAGATCACAGCAATCAAGGTCAGGGTCAATCGTCAATATTTGTCCTACATAACTTTTTAACTGGAATATATATATATATAAAACATATGCATCAAACAATTACAATGTATTACCCCATGACACGTACACATGGTTGAAACAGCTTTATCCCCCTCGTATTCCAAGTAGGATAATCGATTCCGACAGCTTCTTTTCTTCTACTGACCTCTGAGAGAACGCTTCTCAGATAACAACAATCTTAACGTTTTCAAGTTCAGAGTCTCTGTTAGGTAAACTCACCGTGACATGTACACACGATTGAAACAGCACTTTTTCTCTCGTATGCCATAGGTAAGTAGGAATTCTTTCTTCTGACAGCTTCCCCCTGCATTATGGAAGAGACAACCAAGAGGATGCTTCTCAGACAACAACAAACTTAACCCCTTGAAGTCAAGAGCCACTGTTATGTAAAAAAACATAGCATGCAGAAATGGTCAAAACAACATTCTTCTTGTATTCCAGATAGGAAGTTTTATTCAGATAAATTCTTCTCCTGCATTGTGGAACAGACACCCAAGAGAACGTTTTTCAGATAACAACCTCTTCAAGTTCAGTGTCTCCTTTAGGTAGACCCACCATGACACGTACACACAATCGAAACAGCCGTGTTCCTCCCGTATTCCATAGGTAAGTAAGAATTTCTATTCTGACAGCTTCTTCTCTTGTATGGTGGAATAGACTATAATAACAACAATCTTAACCTCTTCAATTTTAGAGGCACCGTTAAGTAGTTTCACTATGACACGGTCACGAGGTCGAAAGAGACTTACTCCTGTCGTATTTCATAGTTATGCAACCGCCACATTCTACTGCAACAGCTTCTTTTCTCGCACTTCCCGTCTGTGGAACTCCCTTCCGTTTCCTTCCTTCCCTGATAAGTACAATCTTGAAAAATTTAAATGAAACGTCAATCGCCATCTTCTATCTTCTTAAACCACGTTCAGCTTTTATCCTTTCCTAAGTCCCTATTTATACCTAGTTTTTTTCTTCCACCTTCACTCTCTGTATCCCCCTAGCCCACCTTGAGTACCAGTGACATTCCTGCTTTGCTTGGAGTGAAATGATTTAAAAAATTAGGAATTTATATTCAGACATCTACTGCATTGTGGGACAGACACCCCAAGAGATGTTTCTCAGATCACAGCAATCAAGGTCAGGGTCAATCATTATGTAGACATATTGTTGCAGACCGGTGAATGTAATTTGAGTAATCAGAAAGATTCGTCCACAACAATTAAAGAAAAATATTAGAAACAAATCATGACGTATTGTTTCAAGACGTAACAATTGAATTTATTAAGTATTTGACGTACATGCATGTGAACTGAAAGGTTAGACAGAATTGTGTCTCTTAGACTAGATAATATTTGTACTTGAGCTCATAAAGAAGTTGATTATTAAACTGTAGTTTAGAATAATAAAGTTCCTTTAGCATGTAAGGGAATGTGAGTTGTAAACCTTGGTAAGAGTTCAGAAGAGATTTTAGAGTTCGTACTTTCATGAATGTTCGTAATGGTCTTTAACGTCTGACTGAATTAGTCAAGACGGGAGTTCTTGAAGATTACTTCTTGGCAGCAAGGAGTGAGACACGAGAGGGAGGGAGAGAGAGAGCGTTTACACGTGTTTTGCCTTTATAATTTTGTTGTACCACGTGACAGGCTCCGACTGAGTTGGCGTCAAAATAGATCTGTCGCTTCGGGGGATTTGATTGGTCGAAACTGACCAATCAGCAAGCTAGATTGAAGGTGATTAATCAATGAATGCTTTCTATGTACTGTGTTTATGTAATGCGGTGGTAATTACCATAGAGGGTGTAACTGGCGGACGTGGAAGATTCCACAATATCATTATACTTACACACGGTAGAAACAACCTTTTTCCCATCGTATTCCAAGTAGGAAGTTCTATTCACACAGCTTCTTCTCGTGTATTGTGCAACAGACTCCCAGGAGAATGCTCTTCTAGATAACAACAATCTCAATCTCTTCCACTCAAGAGCCACTGTTATGTAGAAAAACCATGGCACCTACATACCGTCGAAACAGCAATGTACCTCTCAGGAAGTTCTATTCAGATAGCTTCTCCTGCATTGTGGAACAGACTCACAAGAGGACGTTTTTTCAGATAACAATCTTAACCTCTTTAAGTTCAGAGTCTCTTTTAGGTAGACCCACCATGACACGTACACACAATCGAAACAGCCGTGTTCCTCCCGTATTCCATAGGTAATTATTGTGGAACAGACTCCCGAGAGAATGCTTCCTTAATCCTTACAATATTAACACCTTCCTTATGTTTATGTTCAACCATTTTCTTCCCGCACATATCCCCATAAACTGTGGAACTTTCTCGATATTAGGCTTTGTACATGGCGAACATAATCGTAAAAAATTCTTATATCCACTCAGTAACCCTCTACTTTGAGTTAGTCTTGAGCCTTTTTAATGTGAAAAACTTTCTTTTTCTAACCAATACTATATTGTTATATGAATTCTATATAACGAATTCTATATGAACAGAATGTGTGTTTGAAAATAACCAACACATTTTCGTAATGCGTACAAGAGCCGATCGGTAGTGGTGCTATAAAAAGAAAACTACAACACATATCAATTCAGTATTTAATCTCATTCAAAGTAGTCCTCTTCTGAAGCTACACACTTTATGCCACGCCCTTTTGTTTTTTTAGAATAGATATCAGTTTTCTCGTTGGATTTCCTGACTGTCTTGAAATCTTGTTTCTTTCAAGTGGGAATTGATTTTTAGAAAGAATAGAGAAAAATTGCATGGGGTAAGATCTGGGTCATGGTTACAGATAAAATCTCTTTAGTGTGGTGAGCCGGCCACACTCTACACACTTTCCTGCTGCTATAAAGATAGGAAATGAGTGACAACGATATAACTTAGTGCGCATGCACGACGGTGTTGAAGGTCTATTTGTAAACAGTCATAAAAGGTGACGAATCGTCACTCTATGACTACAACCACGAAACCAAAGCTTAGTTTTCTCAGTTGAAGATTCCAAACTCTCCAAGACCAAAGAAAACACGAATGAGTCGATGCAAAGTGAAGACTATGTTGACTTTCATTTGACTACGAGGTTATTGTTCATCATTCGTACCTGTGTACCACTGGGCAGTGTGAAATATTCGTTCGATTCGACGTACCTTAACCGACTCGACCACGGGGCAGTCTTACCCATCAAGCAAAGTTCGAAAAATCCCTTTAAGCAAAATCTTTCTTGAGGCCATGTCGCTTAAGGTACGTCAGATCTAAAGACAGTTTCCCCTGCCAAGAGAGTCACAGGTTCGATTCTAGCCGGAGGGACCGCGTTTTATCTTTATTTTTTTTAATTTTTTGAATATACAGAACGGTGGACGTCCACTTAAATATGAGTATCCATTCAAAATAACGTTTAAAATGATAAAAATCTGTCGGATTGATAAATAAAATTTATTACTGATATATATATATATATATATATATATATATATATATATATATATATATATATCCGATGTGATGAGAACGAAAGTAATATATAAATTCCAACGTTCACAGCATTAATCCAAAAGAGGGCTCGATACCGATAGTAGAACGATAATTATTTCTTTATTATAATTTTATCATATAGACAAAACCATTTTACTCACTACAAAAGATGCAACTTGGTTTAATGCATTTCAACTACACTTCGATGGTTTTCGATCCTCACCCGTCGAAGTACAGTTGAAATGCACTGAAACCAAGTTGCATCTTTTGTAGTGAGTAAAATATATATATATATATATATATATATATATATATATATATATATATATATATATGTTATGGTGTGTTCCTTGTACCACGGTGATAGTCCAAGGTAGAACCAATAAAGAAGAACTCGAACACAGGTATGGACTAACACAGATATATTACAAAACAGAAATATATACAGAGAAGTAGAAAGTGTTAGTATGAACAATCAGGTTTAGTAGAGAAAACAATGTAATCTCGACCAGTATCACTATTCCAATGTCTTGCAGTAATTGTCTGAACGCGACCCTGTTTCGGACCGCCTCTGACTCGACTCTTGACTCGACTTGAACTACTGACTCGACTTGAACTACTGACTCGACTTGAACGACTGAATGACTCTTTGCCTACTCCTGAGGCGCAGTACTTATTAAGTATGGAATAGTCCATTATTATTATTATTATGAGTAAGGTCCCATAACAATATATGTATATATATATATATATATATATATATATATAGAGAGAGAGAGAGAGAGAGAGACTG